ACTCGCGAAGAATACATAAAAAAAGCCGATTCAAGAATATAATAATCAAATAAAATAGAAAGAAAAACTTTTTTAATTCGATGTCTCTTCTGAAGTCTTTTTTCGTGTGATATTTTACATGTAAATTCTAAGAATTAGACAGGTTTTCATTCTGTCTTATATATTCATACAACTCAATTACCTTTCATCGCTGGAGATGTGAATTGAGGAAAGGAAGACTGAGAGAGAAAGAGATAAGTGAAGGAACTTAAATTATGTAAATTATGGTATTAGGTAAATGTATGCGCTAGCGACAAAAACGACGTGAAAATTATTCTCACTTTAGCATTCATTTCTGGGAATACTTAGAAGATTCTTCAAAAAACATTCTTAGCTAATATCGGTTAAGTTGAACTGAGATTGTGTTCTTGAGAAAGACAACTGATTTAAGACAATCATTAAATTGAAATCGATTCAGTGGCGGGGATAAGAAACTTGTGATGAAATCAACGGCGTGAAGATTCACCCCGTTCATAAGAGCGTAAATTAATTTTAAGTATTTCTTTTGTGGGCGGTTGTGACATTCTTCTGAGTGCCATCTACCAATAAGTCCAATGCGATCTGTTTGGTTCAGCAAACAGATGGAGAACTCCTTTTTGGGAGTACTCGTCCGAGACCTGATGATGATGAGCTTAAAGAGCAAAAATTATTTTCGATCTTATAGTGAATTGTTTCTCTCAATTTACACAGCAGAATATTTAACTTAGGAGTTCTATTTCTATCTAATTTCGCAATTTATTAGAAATTATCTTTTTCACTTTTTAAGTTTCAGATTGTTTCGCTTCATTTAGTTCAAGAAGCTTTTATGAAAGCTTTTTTTCAGAAAAGCTTTCAATGGTAATTGGGGGGTATCGGGAAATTCTCATTTCGAGCTTATTTATAAATAAATGACAATAATGCTATAATAATTGATGGTTGATCGATTAGGTGGGTGAGTAAGTGAGTGAAGAAGATAATTGTAAAAACTTACGATGTCAATTTTGCTGCTTGCTGTTCATTCTGGTCATCTTGGAATTGTAAATTGAAACTTATTTCTACTTTTGAGAACATCAAAATTAGCTTTAAGTTTTCGAATAGCTAGGAAAAATCAGGGATGGAAGTTACATTTAGGCATTTGACGGGCATTGATTTGATATCGAAACTAAAGTGAAACATGTGAAATCTGATGTCATCATTGTCATAGAACTTTCACAGATCTTGTCTTAGACTTGATAATAATGACGACGATAAAATGAAACATGTGTCGTTGTGATAACTGCGAAACAAATGGAAATAATGAATACTTTCACAATATTTCTCATACGCCAATAACCACTTTTATCTACTTCTGCATATAAAAATTGTCTGTATACAAATTGCATGAAGAAGATCATTTAATGGGAGGAGAAAAATATTGAAAACTTGCAAAAAAAAAGTATAAAAACCAGTAAAGTTCTTCTCAAAGTAACAATTTTATTTTGAAGTTGATCAGAAATTGTTCTTACTTATCTAAAGATGAAATTACTCGTTTTACTTATGATTGCCTCTGTCGCAGTTTGTGGTAAGTGAAAACTTATAATTTCATTAACTTTTTCTTACTGACAAAATTTCTCTATAGCTTATGCTCGCGAAGTATGTGAAGCAGTTCCAGAAACAGGTGGAGGTCGACCTTGTCAAAATTGCATCCAAGGACAAAAAGACAAATTGACATACCTTGAATGGAAACAAAAGAATTGGGATCGTCCTGGACAACCTGACGGTACTTGCCCTGGTAACAGAAACAAACGTATCATTGCCGGTGCTTACTTGGACCCACCACAAGAAGGAAACAAATGTTGTTGCGAACCTGTCAACAGTCCCAACTACCCCGAAGTCAACGTTCCAAGTGGTCAACCTGAATAAATATTCCATGGCCCTCTTTAAATTCTTGTAAAAACATTAATGGACATAAAAGAAAATAATAAAACATTTTTCAAATAATAATCGTTTAAAGTTTTATATTTTACTTTCTGTACGTAACTAAAAGCATTTAAATTATTATAAATGACTTCAAACCTTCATGACAATTAAAAGAAATGTTTTATTTCGGCAAAGGCTGAGAAAAACTTCATTTGAGTTTTCAGATAAGAGAGAATGAAAGAACAGATCAAATAGTTGCTATTTACCAATATGTAAAATTGGAACTTGCTGCAAGTCAGAAGATTATATTGCACAGCTCGAAGACATTTTTATCCCATTTTCAGACCAGTATGTGGACGATATTTTTATATTTCAGCAAGGTAACATTTTTAAAGAAGGTTTTTCTACGTTGTAAAATAGTCTTTCCCACCTCCAAAGGTGTTTTCTAATCTGCTTGAAATCTGCCAACACATGCTCTTGATCTCCTGTCACAACTTCTTTTTTTCTGGATTAAGAACGAAAAAATTAAGGAAAAATTATTTTGTCTTCTGTTTTTTACTACTACGGTAATCTTTATTCATCATCGGTATAATCTAGTTGTTGTCTTTTTATTTTCTCACGTACGCATATCTGAAATTGACATTAAACTAAATTTTATACTAACATATTGATTGTTTTCATCATTGGAATTTGACTTGACAGAAGATGTGTTACGTGTTTGTGTGTTCTTAAGAAAAATTCTGCTCGTGTTAAAGTTAAAATATTTCTTAAAAAATAATGAAAGATGGCTTTTATTATTCATAATCGCTTAAACCAACTTGATCAAACATATTATAACTACGTAGGTTTCATGATATCATATTTTTTACCTCGTGACTATTTGAACAATTGTATAAATTTTTAAGATGGAGAAACAAAATTTAAGAGTCATTCGATATTATATTTTATTCTGAATAAATATTCATCATTATTTTATCATTTATCTTAAATAATATTTGCTAAATAATAACAATGAGTCTTCTCATTACAACATGGCAAGGACTTGACTGATGTAAATGGCAATAACTTTAAGCACATCTTTGCGGTAATACAAGAAACAACGACGATATTTTGTTTTCCACATTTTCTGTACAGATTTAAAAACGAAAGAAACTTCAAGAAAATTTTCCTTACAACGCTTAAATAAGTTTTTATTTGCAGAGATGGATAAACGAATTGAGCTATGAATTTTACATATTTTGCATCTGTTACCTAAAACGTAGATTTTCATATTATCTATCAACTATTTTTTCGAATATTCGTAGCTGTACCGGTTGAGATTCTCTCTCGCTCTCTCGCTCTGTAAAATATAATAAATTTATATAAATATCGTGGTAGTCATCGTCCTCGAGCCTGGCGGCATTCTAGCGCGTTTACAGTAACTATACAGTTGCAGACCTTTTGTGTTCTCCATTGTTGATATGAGTAATAAGGTTTGAGGCTTTGTATTGTTTATGTTCTTGAAATTTAATTTAGCTTTGAATTAGGTATGTGTCAAATTTACATGATCAAGTCATGACCATGAAAGAAAGAATTCAGAACTTGGAATCGAAATAAAATAAATCATACAGAATTTGAAGCATTTAAATTATATGACAATGAGGCATAGATAACAGATTTTAATTTCGATCTTATAACGAATTGTTTCTCTTATTTTACAAAGCCGAAACTTCATTTAATTCATTACCTTTAAGTAAAATGAGGGATTCTAAAGGAATATTCAATGCACATTATCGAAAACAGACTTTCATGGAGTTGAATAAACTTTTTTTTTTGTTCGATAGAAAACGAAACAAGACAAAGCCAACCAAATATTTTGTTGCAAGCAAGACCTTTTGACGTTTACGCCAGTCAAGTCCTAACTATAGTCTAGTTAGAAAATTGATTGTTATAATTTAGAAAATAATATTTAAGACAAATGAATTGAATGATAATTGAATATTTTCTGAATTCAAGTTTGTCGAATGACTTTAATTTTGCTTCTTCGTCTTAAAATTCATGCAGTTGTTCAAACAGTCACGAGGTATAAAATTTGACATCCTACGTACATGAAACCAATATACGTTTGTTTTTATTCAAGTTGGTTTAATTTTTCCTGACGTAGATAATCAACATTTTCCAATTTTTGTTATTAGGTATATTGTTGTCGATCTTGAGTCTTAAAAATACAGACATCAAACACATCTTTTGTCAAGTCAAATTCCAATGATGAAAACAACGAGCACGTTAATATAAAATTTATTTCAATGCCAATTTCAAATATGCGTACGTGAGAAAACGAAAAGATAACAACAATTAGATCATATCGATGATGAATAAAAATTATGGTCGATAAATAGAAACTGAATGATTTTTCTCAAACTTTTTCATTTTCAAAACAAAAAAATTGTGACAAGAAGATCGAGAGCATAGCCTTTAAATTTGTCTCATATTAGAATAAATCTCAAGCAAAAATATTATTCCAAATAGAACTGCCATTGATGGTTTGGTCGGAGGATCTCATAAAACTTTTATTCTTAGTTTATCGTAAAGTTTTATTTTAGAATGAAAATTTCAAGCAGATTTCAAACACCTTTGGAGATTGGAAAAACTATTTTTACAACGTAGAAAAACCTTCTTTAGGAATGTTTTAAAACAAATAGCTTACAGAAATTTCAACTTTCAAGAGAAAAAAATTTTATAAGATCCACTGTAATTAACAAAAACATTCAAATTTAAATTCAAAATTGAAAATAAACCACAAATAAATAAATGTATGAAAATCCTATTTATCATAGCGGATTTATGTTCAACACGTGGGATTTATTATGCGATCACATATTTAGACAACGTGGAACTCAACAGCATTCTAATGTTTATGACAAGTTGACTTTAGTAGAATTTTTCAACACAAAGAGTTGAGAGACAAAAATTAGCTCAACTCAATCTGCATCCATTTCTCAGGTCTTTAATCTATCAACGACAGAGTAGCAATAAATTTCATTATAGCAACTATTTGATCTGTTCTTTCATGCTCTCTTATCTGAAAACTCAAATGAAATTTCTCTCAGCCTTTGCTGAAATAAAACATTTCTTTTAATTGTCATGAAGGTTTGAAGTCATTTATAATAATTTAAATGCTTTTAGTTACGTACAGAAAGTAAAATATAAAACTTTAAACGATTATTATTTGAAAAATGTTTTATTATTTTCTTTTATGTCCATTAATGTTTTTACAAGAATTTAAAGAGGGCCATGGAATATTTATTCAGGTTGACCACTTGGAACGTTGACTTCGGGGTAGTTGGGACTGTTGACAGGTTCGCAACAACATTTGTTTCCTTCTTGTGGTGGGTCCAAGTAAGCACCGGCAATGATACGTTTGTTTCTGTTACCAGGGCAAGTACCGTCAGGTTGTCCAGGACGATCCCAATTCTTTTGTTTCCATTCAAGGTATGTCAATTTGTCTTTTTGTCCTTGGATGCAATTTTGACAAGGTCGACCTCCACCTGTTTCTGGAACTGGTTCACATACTTCGCGAGNGAGGTAAAAAATATGATATCATGAAACCTACGTAGTTATAATATGTTTGATCAAGTTGGTTTAAGCGATTATGAATAATAAAAGCCATCTTTCATTATTTTTTAAGAAATATTTTAACTTTAACACGAGCAGAATTTTTCTTAAGAACACACAAACACGTAACACATCTTCTGTCAAGTCAAATTCCAATGATGAAAACAATCAATATGTTAGTATAAAATTTAGTTTAATGTCAATTTCAGATATGCGTACGTGAGAAAATAAAAAGACAACAACTAGATTATACCGATGATGAATAAAGATTACCGTAGTAGTAAAAAACAGAAGACAAAATAATTTTTCCTTAATTTTTTCGTTCTTAATCCAGAAAAAAAGAAGTTGTGACAGGAGATCAAGAGCATGTGTTGGCAGATTTCAAGCAGATTAGAAAACACCTTTGGAGGTGGGAAAGACTATTTTACAACGTAGAAAAACCTTCTTTAAAAATGTTACCTTGCTGAAATATAAAAATATCGTCCACATACTGGTCTGAAAATGGGATAAAAATGTCTTCGAGCTGTGCAATATAATCTTCTGACTTGCAGCAAGTTCCAATTTTACATATTGGTAAATAGCAACTATTTGATCTGTTCTTTCATTCTCTCTTATCTGAAAACTCAAATGAAGTTTTTCTCAGCCTTTGCTGAAATAAAACATTTCTTTTAATTGTCATGAAGGTTTGAAGTCATTTATAATAATTTAAATGCTTTTAGTTACGTACAGAAAGTAAAATATAAAACTTTAAACGATTATTATTTGAAAAATGTTTTATTATTTTCTTTTATGTCCATTAATGTTTTTACAAGAATTTAAAGAGGGCCATGGAATATTTATTCAGGTTGGCCACTTGGAACGTTGACTTCGGGGTAGTTGGGACTGTTGACAGGTTCGCAACAACATTTGTTTCCTTCTTGTGGTGGGTCCAAGTAAGCACCGGCAATGATACGTTTGTTTCTGTTACCAGGGCAAGTACCGTCAGGTTGTCCAGGACGATCCCAATTCTTTTGTTTCCATTCAAGGTATGTCAATTTGTCTTTTTGTCCTTGGATGCAATTTTGACAAGGTCGACCTCCACCTGTTTCTGGAACTGGTTCACATACTTCGCGAGCATAAGCTATAGAAAAATTTTGTCAGTAAGAAAAAGTTGAAGAAATTATAAGTTTTCACTTACCACAAACTGCGACAGAGGCAATCAAAAGTAAAACGAGTAATTTCATCTTTAGATAAGTAAGAACAATTTCTGATCAACTTCAAAATAAAATTGTTACTTTTACGAGAAATTTACTGGTTTTTATACTTTTTTTTGGATGTTTTCAATATTCTGCTCCTCCCATTACATTATCCTCTTTATAATACATGTATACAGACAATTTTTAAACGCAGAAGTAGATAAAAGCGATTATTGGGGCCGTGTGTATTTTGTTTTGATGAACAGCGTGAAAAATATTGTGATGTTATGTTGGCACACGTTTCATTTCATCGTCGTTATCACCATGAGGCCTGAGACAATGTCCGTGAAAGATCAATGACGATGATGTCAAGTGAATGCCAGTCAAAGCATATAAATTTGTGCAACTTCCATCCCTGATTTTGCCTCGCTATTCGAAAACTTAAGTAAAACTAATTCGGTTGTTTTCAAAAGTAGAAATAAGAATCAATTGACAATTCCAAAATGAACAGAATGTCAATTCCATATAATGCCTTTCGATCTGTGCATTTGGATTTTTTGCGAGTGTTGGATAATAATTGTATTAACGAATCAGCAGAGACACCTCATAATATCAACAGATTTATTGTAATGGCAGATCTTTTGTGTTCATCATTAGGTGGTATGATTAATAAAGTTTGAGGCTTCGTATTTATGAAATATAATGTGTTAAATTTACATGATGAAGTCTTGACTATATGGAAAAAATAATTCAGAATTTTGAATCGAAATGAAATAAATAATATAGAATTCGAAGCATTTGAATTATATGAGAATGAAACAGGAAAAGCTCAGATGGTGAAAATTTAGTTTGGTTTAAAACTTACTTGATTCTCCTAATTTACACAGCTGAATATTTAAGTAAAATTTTTCTTTCTATCTAATTTCTTAATTTGTCACACTTCATACGACTTCATTACAAAGTTATCTGTGTAAGTAAAAACCATGAAAAATATCTTTTTCAATTTATAGGTTTCTCAGATTGTTTCGTTTCATTTAGTTTAAGAAGCTTTTTTCTGAAAAAAGCTCCAGAGCTAAGCTTTTCTTAAGAAAAGCTTTCAATGGTAACTGTGGGGGTATCGGGAAATTCTCATATCGAGCTTGCCCCTTCTTATCTCCTCTGATCTTAATTGATCAAAAAAGCCGTATGTCGAACAATTTTAATAAAATTCTTTTCTGAAAATAAAATCTGATTGAAAATTAAAACCATTTTTTTTATCGATTATTTATTAATTTTCTTTTGCATATTAAGAGTCTTTTTAATCTTTCTACAAGTTTCTTCTTTAATTTATTTGTCTCCTGTCGTTGAAAGTGCTTATTGAATATTTCCAAATGTCATTAAAGAAAAATATAGTAATCGATTTGATCTATGAATTGATTGAAAACAATTTGAAAAGTTCTCTTAAATAAATCAAAAAGGAAAAAAGTAATTTATGATTTTAAAGCGACAAATTGCTGGAAAACATCCAAAATGTGGGAATCGACTTGGGTGAAAAGTAAACTCTCCAAAGTGCTTGAGTACTTTTGTACTTGTTCGTGATGCTGTTAAGTTAAGAAAAATATAAATTAAATAAATTTTTTATCAAATTTAAAGAACGTACCACTAAGAAAACTTGCTGTAAGCGTCCAATTGTCCAACGATACCAGTCAGTGTTATAGTCACGTCCATCAGTATCACATTTCACCAAATGTTCAGACAAAATCATAATGAAACGTTGAAAAATGATTAAGAAAATTCTCTTTTGATCGCCATAAGCAGCTTCAAGTTTCTCTTCCATTTTTTCCACCATCTTTTGTTAAATTGAACAAATTTGCAAACATTGACAATAAGAAAAAGTTCAAAATTTACCTCATCAGTCGGCTTCTCCCCTGAATCTTCTTTCTTTTTCCGTGTTGTTGTTTCACCATCAGAATCCTCACTCGAAGACGACTCAGCATCTCGTGCCATCTTTTCTTTAGCTTCAACTAAATCTGCACTCAATTTCATGACATGTTTGTTCATCTTCTTGATCGTTAAATGTAAAATCTCCCACAAATACATTTTTGTGAATTCCGATGACATTTCCTTTGAGAACACCCAAGTTGCAACTGATGAGCATTCAACAATTTGCGTCTTAAGAAGTTTATCAACAATAACGACCATCATCTGTTGATGATTTCTCCACAGTTCGAAGACATTATGCAGCACACAAATTTGTCCTTCCTCCGACTCAGCGAGTTGCCGGAAAACATAATGAAACTTTGAGATTGCAGCAAATGTATGTGAGAAACTCTTCGATCCCAAATTCAAAAGTGTTTGAACAAACACATCGATCTTCAAAGGATTAAATGTCGTCTCGACCATGTCATTTTCAGTGTCTCTGGGATTTGGTAAATCCTTCAACTCATTGAGAACTTCTTCTGGTGTACACTTTTGTCGAATTGCAACGACAAGTTTGTGAGCTGTTGCTGTTCCAGGCAATGATGCTGCACCTTCTGATGTGTATTTGTAATTAGGACTCGGCGGTTCTGGCAGAAGTTTCTCATAAGATTCCGGCATCATATCTTTGATTCTTTGGAAGTAAGACAAACGAAGTGATCTTTGAAGAACTTCCTGGATGAATTTTGGTCGTGGATGTTCATTATCCAACAGCAAGCAACTGTCCCAATCTTCCCATGACCAACGGAACTGAAAGTTACTCAAATGATACGAAAACCAATTCACAAATCTATCGAAGCATGAAGTGTTCATTGAATCAATTCGCATGAAAAGAATTTCAGTTGCTTGTGCAAGAACTTGAGGCATTGTTGATGGTTGCAACTTGCACAATTCGATCATGATGGAGCCATAACAGATCTCTAAATAGCGTGGTGTTGGCATGTGGAAAAGCTCACTGAAAATCACTTCAACAATGCAATATTCCAATGGGATTTTGTTCTTGTACGGAAAACTCAGCAATTGACTTGCGCAATCTTTTCGCTCCAAATTGTGAGCTTCGATAATCGAATGCAAATGTTCTTCGATGAGGAATCTTTCAATTGAATGAGCTCCTGGAAGAATTGGACCATCAGGGCAATCAGTGTAGTCAAACATTCGATAAACTGTCCATGGCATTGGATATGAGTAACTCTCATGATGTGGCGGCGGATTAATTGTTGGAAGTGAATGTTGAAGTGCTTCACAAAGAATCGAATCAAATGCCATGTAAGGACGTGGAATATATTTTTCCGACCAATTATCTTGACGCAATTTTCTTATTTGTGCCCACAAGCAATCTAAATATTCTTCCTGAGGATGAGGAGCGTCAACAGACCAAACACGAAGAGCATTGTGATGTTTCTTGGTTCGTTTGTTAAGAAAGATTTCAATACGAACGAGAAGATTCTCCAATGCTGATTCCTTTTTCTCGTAGAGATCACGTCCAACCCAAGGCAATGTTGAAAGGACTGAAAAAACGTACCAGTCACGTCGAACTTGTGGAACGGTGTCTTCGTTACTTGCATCAACCATTGATTCGAGAAGTTGAAGCAAAGATACAGCTGAAATGACATTACAATTGACGAGATCGGCGAGGAATCTTAACGAATAACGAGCTGCATCCCATTTGCAGTTCTTAAGACTGTCTTTGAAACTTTTCACCATATGATCAACAAATTCTCCACCGAAGTTGTAATTCTTAGCATTTAGTAATCCCACTAATGTTGTGTAGATTGTACATTTTTCTGAAAACAAACAAATATTAAGATACATTTTCATTTTCCGAAATATGTTCTTACCGGGCATTTTTACAGCACATTCTGATAAGATTCTCAAGATCTTATTCCTGAATGTACCTAAATCTGCTTCAAGAACGGAGACTAATCCTTCTAAATTAGATTCCAAGCTACTTGTACTGTTTTCACCAACACGCAAGATGAGTGTTTCAAGGCGATCTTCAATTTCCTGATTTTCTGCATTTGATACTCGGCGTCGTTTAGGTCGTCGTTCTGAAAATAAATTTTTATGGTTAAATTCTGTTAAATTTAAGATTCATCCTTTCTTACCATATCCATCATCATCATCGTAAGGTCGTCTTCGGTTCATTTTATTCATTTTAAGACTATTTATTTCTTTTTTTCTTCAATTTAAGTTTAAATGTTTTTCACCTATAAAATGATGCAGTTTGAAGCTATACAACAGTTGGTATAAGGTTTTACGTAGAAAATCACTGTTGTGAGGTTCATAATTCAGCGAAACTTTTGAAAATTTAAGCAAGAAATTTTAATAAAAAGAGGTCGATTCAAATATTTTCATTTATTAATTGACTATTAAATAAACATAATCCATATTTTCATGAAGGAGTTTTGATAAATCGTCATGTGAATAGTGATGTTTCATGAAATTACACAACGCGGCTAAAAATTACACATCATCAAGTGAAAACATTTGAAGAGTTTTTTCTACTTGTTTAGGTTTATTTATTGTTTCCCAATTTTAAAATTTGTACAAATTCATTATGTCAAATTTAGATGACGAAGAGATCGTAAAAGCTCTAAGTCTAGAGGAAAAAGCTTTAGATGAGTTTAAGCGTAGGAAGTATTCACTTCCACCATCAAGAACCTCCTCAAATAGAAGCAGTGAAGGTAAATATAATTTCCCTAAAATATTCAACAAGTATTTGTAAAATTTCGAATTTATTATTCCAGAATTTAATTTTTCTAAACGATCAGAACCACCTCGTTCATCTAGTGTTGTAACGACACAAGAGGAAAAAGATTTAATATCCTTTTCCAATGAGATTCAAGAAACATCCACAACAGCAAAACCAAACAATGAAGATCCGTATGCTAAACTAAAAGAATCAATTTTAAATATCTCTGCGAGCAGTCATCAACTTCAGCAACAACAGCAGCAGCAAAGCATGCAACTATTGCCTTATAATAAGCCTCAGCAACCGAGCTTATCTCCTGAGAGTTTAAACTCTCTTTACAGTATGAATTCCAACATCAATCCATATTACAGCAAAAACATGTATTTCAATGCGCAACCACCTTCAACATCAGCATATCCAGCAATAGGTTTCTCACATTTCCTCCAACAACAACAGCCACAACCACAATATTCAAATTACAATAATTACAACAATTTCTATCAAGCTAATCAAAGTCAATCATTCAATTGGAATCAAACGCCGTCTTACGCAGTCACAAAAAATAGTTCAACGCCCACGCAACCTTCGACATCATCTTCATTATCAGTAAAGTCAACTGCTTCGACAACATCCTCAGATAAGACAATTCCGCAACCAAGAAAATTATCAAAAAGTGCTGCTGATAATTTAATCGACTTCGATGTGTCAGATGATTCCAAATATGTGATGAACATTCTTCAACACTTTGATCCTTTGGTGACTCCAAATCGAAACTCAACAGAAGATGCTGAAAACACTTACTACACAGATCAAGATCCTTTCGATTACATTTACAGTGGTGGAACTCAATATTCAGATCCACTTTATGATGCTGTTGTACGAAGTGAACATTCTTTGTCGTCACCAAAGTCACAGACTCCTCAAGAACTAGCAGAATTTTATGCTGTGACATCGAGTGAACCTTTGAGACCACCGCCATTGCCTCCAAGAAATCCTAATAAGTCATTTGAAGAACAAGATCAGGACGAGTCTTATCCATCACTAAACGGATCAGTTCCAAAGTTCTCTCAGAAATTATACGAAAATGTAACACATAATAAGAAATTTGATAAGGATTTAATTGCTTTCTACAAGATGGTGAAGACAGTTCGATCGAAATATGTTTACGATGATAATGAGTCGAACATTGGTCACATAATAGCCGCTGAACTTGACAACGACAATGTTCACATGAATGTTACGAGTATTAAATTAATTGTTTATCCATCATCAGAATGTTTTCAAGGATCTTACAATGAACCACATTCCGACAGAAGGGAAGAAACTTATCAGAAATTGGATGGTTATGCAAGTCCCGTTGTATTCACATGTGATATTAACTCAAATGTCGTGCATGTCATTCTTCATGTGTTGACCGAGTTAGAAGACTCAATAAGAGGAACGCCAGAAGAGTTTGCTCTTAAAACTGTTGGATCACAAGAATGGCTCTCACCAACTTCATCACTCGGACATTTGGAATATATTCAGTCAAATATCAAACTCGAGAAAGATGTTCAACTTGGATTGTTTCCTAAATATAATAAATACATGAAGATCATTGCAAGAACACAACAAGATGATCTTCGTGATGCTGACATACGATTTGAGAATATTTTGCCAAAGGATGTTGTATCTGCCATAAGTTACGATTCGTTGATGATTTTATTGGAGACTTTAGAAATGGAAATTGATAAACTTGAAAGTTCAGCGTTAGATAATTCAGTATTACATCCATCAGGTGTTGTTCAAGGTGTCAAAGCCATTTGTGCACTTTTGGGTTGCATTGACACTTTAGAGTTAGAGAAAGCGATTGAGAATTTGAAGGAAGCTTGTCGCAATCATTCACAATCGAAGGTAATTCAATTCTAATGAATTTTTTATAATTGTTAAATTTTTTTCTATCACACCAGACAATTCCATCAATCTACAATAAATCATCGACAATAAACATTGTTTCGGAGCAAGGAAATTACGCGAGAGTCACATTGAGACCAAGAAACATCGGCGAAGATATGAAATTTCATTGTGGTGAAGTTCGTGATTCAGTTCAACATCTTCTTGAAATGTATTCGCAAGCATTCCAAGTCAACTTTTCAGTTAACGGTCCGCAATGGAATTCTGGTAAGTTAAAAATAAATATTTAAGTGAAATTTATTAATGAATTTTAATTACAGCACCAATTTGCATCACAAATGTTTTTCAACATGTCATGATCAACATTGTGGCACTTCATCGACCACCAGCGAATTGGAAACACGACGAATACATGCTTGGTGTTCAAATCTATCATGGAACGAGATTTCTTGGTGAACCTTTAATCACGCATTGTCCCAACAGTACAATTGGCTTCTATCCTCGATTGACATTCGATTCCTGGCTGAGTTTTGATGAAGTTCCAGTTTGTACATTGCCAAGAGAAGCGAGATTGGTGTTCGTTCTTTATGGATGTACGAAAGAACCAGTCGATGGACAACCAAGTGACAATCAATCATCACAAAATGCGGGAAATTCCCAAGAAAATCGAATGACAAAAGTTGAAATTGGATGGTCATCAATTCAGTTCTTTGATTTCGATCGAAACATGATTCAAGGAACTTACTTCTTGTCATTGTGGCCACCGTCATCTGATAAATATTATTGTCCATCACCACCTCGTGGAACTCATCCACTTGGTGACTTTTGTCCCGTGTTGTCAATAGAAATTCCAACTTATGGCGGAAAACTTGCATTTCCTGAACCAATTGCCAACATGCAAACTCCGACGACATTTGACTTTGAATGTTTGGATAGAAATCTTCAAGATGAATTGACTGACACGATTGATCAAGGCTTTAATACGAAAATTGATAAACGAGAAGTTTTATGGGAGAAACGTTACTATCTTCATCAGTTTCCGAAAGCACTTCCAAAGATTCTCAACGCAGCCCACAGTTGGGATTTCGCTAGTGCTGCTGACATTCATGCTTTAATGAAGTCTTGGTCACCGTTGAAGCCACTCGAAGCTATTGAGTTGCTTCTTCCACGCTTTCCTGACTTGGAAGTTCGTGGTCAAGCTGTGAAATGGATTTCAAAGTTCTCTCATGATGATTTAGTTGATTATCTTCCCCAATTGCTTCAAGCAATGAAACATGACATTTACGAAGCTTCACCGCTCTCATATTTCTTACTTGGGCGATCGCTTGATTCACCTCGAGTCGCTCATTATTTGTATTGGTTGTTGATTCAGAACCTTCCCGGCGAATCACCACAAAATTCCACAGAACAAAATCAAATTTATGAAGACGATTATGTTCTACTTCAAGCACGTTTTCATCGACGTAATCAGCTCATGTTACGTGCACTTTTAGCTGTTTGTGGTGAGAAACTTTCAAGTCGTTTTCTATCACAAAATCTCATGTGTAAAGCTCTCGATGATGTTGCAAAAAGTGTTAAAGTCGCCAAAGATTCAATTAAACTTTCTATTCTGAGACAAAACATTGAAAATGTTCATCAAATACTCAGCGAGAATCCAACATGTTTGCCATTGTCGCCAGGAATTGAAGTGAAAGGAATTCAATCGCGAACTTGCGACTATTTTAAATCAAATACTTTGCCATTGAAGATAAATTTCATGGGACCAGACAAGCTCATCATTCCAGCAATTTTCAAATGTGGCGACGATTTACAACAAGACATGTTGACATTACAAATGGTTCGTATCATTGACAAGATGTGGATGAAAGAAGGACTCAACTTGAAAATTGTGACTTATTCTTGTGTCCCAACTGGCTCGAAGAAAGGAATGATCGAGATGATCACAAATGCTGAAACATTGAGAATGATTCAAGTTCATTGGGGTCTGACTGGATCGTTCAAAGATAAGCCAATTGCTGAATGGCTGGCGAAACAAAATCCAAATCAACTTGAATATCAACGTGCTGTTGAGAACTTCACAGCTTCATGTGCTGGTTATAGTATTATCACTTACATTCTTGGCATTTGTGACAGACACAATGACAATATTATGCTTAAGAAAAGTGGGCATTTGTTTCACATTGATTTTGGAAAGTTCCTTGGCGATGCACAAATGTTTGGGAACTTCAAACGTGATCGTGTTCCATTTGTGTTGACATCTGACATGGCTTATGTCATTAATGGTGGTGATCGACCATCGTCAAAGTTTCATGGCTTTGTTGATCTTTGTTGTCAAGCTTTTAACATTGTAAGGAAGCACGGAGATTTATTGCTTCACATGTTTGCTTTGATGGCGTCGTCAGGTGAGAAAATTTAATGTCACTTTCTTAATCATTTGATTAAATATGTTCTGTAATTTTCAAGGAATTCCTGGTGTGACAAGTGACGCTGTGAACTACGTGAGAAATGCTTTAATGCCTGGCGCATCCAATCCGGAAGCTTCGGCAAACTTTGCTAAAATGATTCACGTTTCATTAAAAAGTTGGTTCACACAATTTAATTTCTTTCTTCATAACATCGCACAGATGAGATTTGGAAATGATTCACAAGGTGGAGAATTGTTGAGCTTTATTCCAAAGACTTACACGTAAGTGAATTTAGTTTTATTCAAATATTTTATTAATTTACTTAATCATTCAAAAAGTGTTGACCAAGATGGATGCATTGAGAATATTATTGTTCATGGATATCAGAAGCGATATGATTTGGAGAAATATTATACATACATCTTGAAAGTCTTTCGTCAGAATCAACCAGATCCAGCTTATTTGTTTCGATCTTACAAGGAATTCTGTGAACTTCATCAGAAGTTGTGTTTGCTTTTTCCTTTAGCACGTCTTCACAGGTGAATTTCATTCTCCTTCTTCCTTTATTTTATTAAAAACCTTTTCATTTATTATCAGCTTACAAACTGGAATCTCTGTTGGAAGATCAAACATCAAAACAGTCGCTGAGAAGCGTTTACCAGAAGTGAAAAAATTCCTCCACACTTTGCTTCGTTCTGCACCTGAAATTCTCAACTCTGATTTAGTGATAACATTTTTCCATCCTTTACTTCGTGATCAACAGGAGAATGATATTCATCTTTTAAAGATGAGAGAAACTCGACCATCGGCTGAACCAAATATTTGCGGAGAAATTAAGTTTTCCATTCATTATCATCGTGAAGCTTTTATTGTTATGGTGAGAAGAATTTCTAAATTTTTAATTCGATTCTTCAAAACTAATCCCCTTTCAGATTCATCATGCTCGTTCACTTCCGATGACGACAGGAGGACAAGAACCAAATACTTATGTCAAAACTTATCTCATTCCCGATCGCTCAAAGATTACGAAAAGGAAAACTAAAGTGATAAAGAAAAGTTGTTTTCCAAGTTTCATGGAAACTCTCGAATATCGAATGCCGATACAAGCAATAAGGTTGAAGACACTTCAGATTACTGTGTGGGGACATGACTCGCTGCAAGAGAATGAATTCCTTGGCGGTGTTCAACTTCCCTTGGTTGATATGGATTTGAAGGAAGAAATTGTTGGTTGGTATAGGCTTGGATATTTGCCTCGTTCATAGTTTGTAACAAACTAGTTTATGAAACCAAAACATTTTAACTCTACAATGAAGAATTGTGACCTTTTTAAACAAAAAAAATAATTTTGCTTTGAAGATATTTTTCTTCTTCTTTCTTTCTTGATATTGACACATGAAAGTAAAAAAAATGCTAAAGCAAAAGCCATTTTATAAAGTGAAATTTTTATATTATTACATGTTATATTATTACTCTTTCAAGCTTGAATAAATAAATGAAATTAAAGGAATAAAAAATTAAAATTTTAGTACATGAAATCAACGGTTTTTCATTCAAAAATTTTAAAAAGCAAATAAAACGCGACATCTGTGGGCAAATATTGACAAGCTGAATATCAGGGAGTGATTTTTTATCAGGGAGTGAGGAAAACTCAAGTTTTCAGTGGCGGCGCTACGATCGATTATCTGACACGGAGAAATTATCTGACACCG